GGTCCTCCTGATTAGCAGATCAGCCACAGGTGTGTGAGAGGCTCAACTCAGGAGGACCCACGGCGCACTCTGCTGGAGGCAGAGGGTAATCTCCAGAATCTGACAGTGACTCCAGCCCTAAGGAAAAACAAAGAAAGCAGAAGAGGATCCTCGGCGCCCTCTGGTGGGCAAGCCTGAGGATCCCAACAGAAATTCAAAATAATGAATGAAATATATCCAACTAAAGAATTTTTGTCATAAAAATTCTAATTAGATATAGAACATTGTGTGTTTGGTATGAAAAAAATTGAAAGTTTGTGTTAGGTTTATTCAATGATGATTATTAAAGTAATCTGTGTTCATATAAAACATTTGTAGAAATGAGATGCTCCACTCCTGTCTCATGATTCAGTCAGGAGACCATCCTGCCTTGACATTCTGATGGAGCATTCTGTCTTCATGAACTGATCAATTGTTCTATCAGAACAATACTCTGTTTGTAACCATGTGTCATGTTCTGTTAATAAACGCTCTGCGGAGGAGGTCCGGTGGGAGACAGTGTGTTTGAGTCTGGGGTTCAACTGTCTCTCATTCTGCAGAAGCCGTATGAAAAATCCCTTACTGTGTATTTCAGTTCTTCCTTTTACAAAAACTACATTTTTGAACCCAACAATTTGAAACATTTATCCTTTTTTGAAAACCAATTTTTAAATAATTCTGAACAGTTTTCCAAAGCTGGTTAGACCTAAAGAACAGTATTCTGTCTCCACTATCTGACACTATTATATTATTTGGTTTAGAAAGTGAAAACTGTTCTCTGGAATATTTAGGAAACTTTCTCATATTGAGGGGAACATTTTTCATTCACAGATTTAGGTTTCTTTAAATAAAGCCCACCTTTGGTCATTGGAGAAATGATTTCGATTTATATTCTAAGTCTGTGAAACTGGTTAAATCTAAACATGCAGTAAATGATCATCTTTATTGGAACGTTTTGATTGAATGTAACATTGTCCTTCTATTTTAGTTCTGTTTTGTTACTTGTTTTTATTTTTTTGTTGCTCACATCTCAGTTGCTACAAGTATGTGATTGTTATTGTCACATTAGTTATTAGTATCTTATACTATTTTATTACTTATAGTTTTTATCTTTATTTATTGCTGCTCAATATCTTTTCTATTTTACAGTATTTGCTCCAATCTTTGACAGATCACTGAATTATAATCATCTTTAGTCTGAGAAGAGCTATTTGTAATCATCTTTAGAAATGTCTTGATTTGAAGTATTTTGATTCTTAAACTATTAAAGATCACTGATTGTGTCTTTTAATTGTCCAACTTGATGCTTTATATGACCAGTAGAGGGCAGGACTGCAATGAACCATCTGGGTCTGGTATAAATCATGTCTGTGGAGAAAAAACATGCGGTTCAATTTTTAGCTCAAACTCAGGTTGTATAAAAACTCTAAAAGCAGCAGTTTCAGTGTAAAGATTTAAAAGTAGTTTGAAAAACCTCAAAGACAATTTTCTTCTAAAAATTTCTCTAGTTATTTATAAACCACATTTTTAAGATTTTTGAGAGTTTGGATATAGGCCTTTAATTTTCAGAAGTATTGTGAGCAGATTTCTTAAAAAGGCTA